ACCCAAGTCCAACATAGCCCTTATGCCGCGACTGACTAGGTTACGTCTAACAAGTACTTCCTTCTACATGCGAGGCCCCTCGTTCCCTCTCCAGAGACTTGTCCGTAGGATCTCCCAGCTTACCTCACAACTCTACAATCTCTCTCCTTCCGCTGCGAACATGGATCCGTCGCTTCGTTCGCACTATCTTGCAGACAATCCTCCCACCGTCGTCAGATTGGAGATCGCCCCCCACTTCGCTGCTCTGTCGCCCAAACAGAAGCGATATGCTCATCACCTGAGTCGTGCTTCTTTCCACGGCACTCGAGTAACGCTTGCACAAGTGTCGCCGGAATCCCCCGTCATCTATGATCTCATACTTGCCCTGCATCGCGCTTGCAATGGCGATTACAAGAAACTCTCTACCGATACCTCGGTATCGTCCTCCGACGTCACGCTATGGCTCGAGTACGCCGCCCAATTCTTAGGAAATCTAGGCAATTACAAGGGATTTGGGGACTCTAAATTCATACCGAGAATTTCACCGGAAGACCTGAAGAAGCTCTGTGACGTTAACAATGAATGCAAAAGTCTCCATGAAAAAGCCACAAAGACGGGAGGAGGGATGTACGAGACCAGAGATGCTGCTCTTATGCACCTCGGATATCCCGAAGCGGGCCATATGACGGCATATTACCCGGATTCACCAACCATAACAAAAGAGGAAATTTCTATTGTGGGGGATGTGCTCGAAGAGAAGAGACTGCTGATAGAGAACACCAGACTGCGGAAGCTGGATTCTGGGGATTTTGAGTTGCTCATTGCGTCTGGGGTCTCAAACCCGCCTGCATCAGAGCGTGATCTTGGCGACATCTCATCAATTGACTTGACAGGGAAGCTTGCTGGCAAAAAGTTACATCTCCGTTTCGGCGATTATCAAGAAGAGATGGCCAAGATCGCCCTCGAAATCAAGAAAGCAAGAAAAGATGCTGCCAATGAGGTTGAGGAAAAGATGCTTGACGAGTATGCCAGGTCGTTTGAAACTGGCAGCATTCAAGGATTTGTGGAATCGCAGCGTTACTGGATCAAAGACAAAAAGCCCATGGTCGAGACTGACATAGGATTCGTCGAGACTTATCGGGACCCTCAAGGTGTTCGTGGTGAATGGGAAGGTTTCGTTGCTATGGTGAACCAAGAAAGGACACGTGCTTTTGGCAAGCTTGTCGATGCAGCACCAAGCATGATTCCGAAGCTGCCGTGGAGCAAGGAATTCGAGAAAGACAAGTTCTTGAGCCCGGATTTTACTTCTTTGGAGGTCCTGAGCTTCGCTGGTAGCGGGATACCGGCAGGCATCAACATTCCGAACTATGATTTCATCAGGCAGAACGAGGGTTTCAAGAATGTGAGCCTTGGAAACGTCCTTAGCGCCAAAGCTCCCAATGAGCCGATCCCGTTCATCCGAAAAGAAGACGACCAGCTCTTCCGTAAATACCGTGACCCTGCTTTCGAAGTCCAGGTCGGAATTCACGAGCTTCTAGGTCACGGTTGCGGCAAGTTACTCCAGGAAACGGCTGTTGGCGAGTACAATTTCGACATCAAGCATCCGCCCATTAGCCCCATCACCAAGAAGCCAATCACCTCATACTACAAGCCCGGTCAAACCTGGTCCAGCGTCTTTGGGTCGATTGCTTCGTCGTACGAAGAGTGCCGCGCCGAATGCGTTGCCATGGCTCTCTCCTGCGACTTTGGGATTCTCGAAATATTTGGATTCGGTGATGGCAAGGAAGACATCGGTAATGAAGCTGGAGACGTCCTGTACGCCGCGTATCTCCAAATGGCACGTGCCGGAGTGGCGGCATTAGAATTTTGGGACCCAAAGTCTCGGAAATGGGGCCAAGCCCACATGCAAGCTCGCTTCTCCATCCTCCGTACGTTCATGGATGGTGGCGAAAATTTCTGTGAGCTCAAATCTCCGAACGGTGACATAAGGAACCCGGACGACCTCGAAATCCATCTTGATCGAGGCAAAATCCTTTCTCACGGACGACCTGCAGTCGAAGCCTATTTGCAGAAACTACACATCTACAAGTCAACCGCTGATTTTGAAGCTGGAAAGAAGCTGTACGACGAGGTCACTAATGTGGACGAATGGTGGGCAGAGAAAGCGAGACCTATCGTGCTGAAAAAGAAAATACCCCGTAAAGTGTTTGTGCAGGCTAATACTGTGCTGGATGAAAACAGTGGGGACGTAAAGCTGGTAGAATACGAGCCTACGATAGAGGGGATGATTCAGAGTTACGTCGAACGGAATGTCTAAGAGATTAGCATCGTCAAAATATGATGCAGCCACATATGGGAAACAACAACGAGATACACGGCGACGAGACGGACATGGTATCGAAGTAGAGCAGTACAGGACGAAGAAATCAACACAATGTTACATGTCAATGAGAGCATCAACAAGGTAGATCACATACGAACGAAAACATGAATACCATACAGTACCTCTCTCGCCGAATGGCCATCTTCCAGGGCACATCTTTTTGCATGTTCTGATTTCCTTTAGCCTGGCTCTTGGATAGGGCCATGCATACCCTCCCTGTTCCTTTATGTCTTTGAAAGCCTTCACTTCGCACAACTCGATGCCGAGCATACCATAGCCGGTTTGGTGGCCATTTGTGGTAAAGAAAACAGACTAGCTAGAGCGCAGCAGCATTGAGCATCTTGACTGTCCCTTATAGAGGGCCCTGAATCGATACGATCAAATTTTTTTTGCCTATTCATTCATTCAGTGTCACATTCTGAGACATCAAGGTGCTTTCGATGGCAGTTTGCCATAGCTGGAGCTGGTTATTTGGGCGGATTTTCTTTGCATCTAACAATTTATTCCAAGGACTTCTGCGGTCGGTCGTATCCTTCGGCCCAGGATTCCCTGTTGAGAATTTGGTAAATTTGCATAGGCAAGTTGGTGAGTGCACCTCCTGAGCCTGTGATTTGTTGCTATTCAGCCACGGTACTCTGACCTGTCGTTAATTTTGACCTCTCGAAATTCTGGACTGTTTCAAAGCCTTCTCACCCTGTCGGCTCTTGTGTAGCCCGTGGTTTCTGCCCAGCGATTACATGGGCAGTTGCCTGTCCCTGACTGGCTTAATGGAAGGGGCTCGGACAAGCCATGAGCGTATTCTATACTTGACCAGGAGCCTCAAAACCCGGATCGAAGCTTAGACTTATCCCCCGACATGTGCCGATGAGAAGTTCTTCGTTGTCAGTGATTTCTCCTAAGCGGTCATTATGCAGGAAAGCTTTCGGAGAATGCCACAAGATGAGTTCCTTCAGATCGAACTCGTGAGAAATTGCTCGTTGATCTCTATGCAGGCTGAGTTTGTCTCCGCTGGTGCGGCGTGCAGTCATTCGGGGCAAGCATTCATTACCAAAAGGCTGAATGCCAACGCTCGCGGAGGGTTTGCCTCTAACGGCACAGATGCAGTTCACGAGTCAAGCCGCAAAAGACAAGTGTATTCGTACATGTTCTTAACGTTGTATGTGAGCCATCGAGTGCCGACCGTGGCGAGTGAATGTCGGAGTCAAGAAGCTGCGCAGAATGCTATGATCGCGTTGGTCGGGAAAGCTGGCCAGTAAAAGGAGGAACGTATATTTTGACCAATTCCCTGAACGCGCCGGCTTTGTGCGATGCCTTCTTCAGGTATCACTATTTGGCAATAGTATCAATATCTGAAGCGACATCTTGCCGCAGTGCCCAGACCTATCCAACCTATCCAATCCGGCCCATTTGAATTACCCGAGAGCAAAAATCCTAATTGCCATTTACGCTTTGATCCTAGAGGGCGAGCGAAGGCAACTTTAGCCTGAGCTCCTCAGAGTGTTTGGCTGAGCATCACTGAGCGCTCCCTGGGCAAACACACCGTGGGCCTAATCTGGCCCCTTGCGATCGGTTACGCCGAGTTCTTGCCTCTCGGCTAGGTATCTTTTTTGGACGGACGTCAGGGAACCTGGCCGATTCCCTGCTCTTCGTTGCGAACAGGCCTGAGGAGGAACCAGGAAAGGCCACGATGGCTAAAATGGGAAGGTATGCTGAAGCACGTGTAAGGCATGTACCTAGCGAGCTGGTTGTCTCAGTTCTCAGACCCATCGGCTCAGCTACCTTTTTATGGGCAGGGCTTATAAAACACCGTTGCGAGAGGGTTCTGAGCTCCAATACTTATTATTGGGGTAGAAATGAATTCGCGACCTTATGAAATTCGCGAACAGCCTGCAAATAGTTTAACGTTCACTACTTTTCTTTAAATAACTATTTAACTATTAGTCTATTGTAACAGAGCACTTCAGGGTTTGGCATGCACGTGCAACAACGAACAAAGGCCTGCTCCAGTAGGTCGGAAATCGAGAACGCGTTTCTGGTGTTGACGCAGACAAGTCGACACCACCACCAACACCACCCCCAGAGAGGCAGCAGCTAGGGCAGCGAGCGCCTAGCACGGCAACGACATTGAGAAGTAGGAAAGGGCCGGCAAAACACTCAGGAATAGGTAGACGACATCAAAAACATTCAATACTCTGTCAAACTGTGAAAAATAGCACACTGCCAGCAGCTCTCCTTCCTAATATTCCCCCTTCCCCCTCATACCATCCCAGCACAGCCACTTTGCCATATTACAATATCAACTTCGATCCTTTCCTAGACAGGACACTCACCTTTACCAGTGCGATAACGAGGATGCCATAATGCTCTCAGTCTGGGTTGGCAGTCTGTGCTATACCGAGCAGCTTGTTTGACTCATCGCGTCAAAATCACCGCGACATAACGTTATGCATGGCATCGTGATCTTCGCCACTGACCCAAACCGCAGATCTGTCCCTACTGCTTCTCGACTTCTAATTTACAAGAAATGGCAGTTAAACTGCGAACTGATCGCTTATGACTATATTTGCGCCAATACTAAACTTCTAGGTCTCTTCAAGATCGAGGTTGTTGATCGACAGCACATTACCCGCGGTTCATCATGACGAAAAGAAGCTACCGCCGCGAAGTCGATCCCCAGGTTTCCTCAAGTGACACAGACGACAAATCTCAGAAGATAGAGCAAGAACCAGTCCTCTGCCAAAAATGCAACGTTCCGTTTCAAGGGAATGAAGAGGGTGCTCTGAACGGGATCGATGATACTTCTATACTTGTCAACTGGGACGGTCCTGAAGACCCGTATAACCCCAAGAACATGTCTACTGTGCGAAAATGGTGTATTGTCCTCGTCACCGGTCTGATGACATTCTGTGTCACCTTTGCCAGCAGCGTCTTCGCGACCACTTATTCCGCAACGGCTGCCGAGTTCGGAGTTGCGGAGGATGTCATGATCCTAGGGTTATCACTATACGTGCTGGGATTTGCTTTCGGTATTCCTCCCCTTAGGCAAACACTAAGGCTGTGGTTCAATGAAAGGCTAAGTAACCAACAGGTCCGCTAGTATGGGGTCCGCTGTCAGAGATATATGGCCGCAAAGCTCCCCTTTTTGCAGGAATGGCCACCTTTGCCATCTTCCAGATTCCTGTAGCGGTAGCACACGATCTCCAAACTCTATTCGTCTGCCGCTTCTTCGGCGGCGTGTTCGGGTCTGCACCTGTCGCCATCCTCGGAGGCATGTACGTCGACTTCATGGAGCCGATCAGCCTTGGTGTCGCTGCAGCAGTCTTTGCCGGCGCGGCTTTCCTGGGCCCTGCTGCTGGTCCTATTATGGGGAGTTTCATCACGCAGTCCTCTCTCAGCTGGCGATGGACAATATGGATCACGCTTCTGATGACTGTGGCCTTTGGACTCCCGACCGCCGTCATCACACCCGAGACGTTCGAACCGGTTCTTCTCCGCAGGCGGGCTAAGGAGAGACGCTATGTGACCAGGAACTGGGCCTTGCATGCAAAGGCTGAAGAATATCCGCTTGACTTCAGGACTCTCCTGAACAAATACTTGACCAAGCCTCTGCATATGATAGCACTCGAGCCTATTGTGAGTTCTCAACTGTCATTCTCCGCCCTGGCCGAGCAAACTACTTATGGGGTGCCTCAGCTTATTGTCGTGACAATATACATGGCTTTGGTCTATGGAATTCTTTTATTGACCTTTGAGGCATATCCGATATCCTTCGGGGTCAGAAGAGGTTGGTCTCCTACGGTTGGAAGCCTGCCTTTCATATGTATCTTCGCTGGCGTGGTAGGTGGGTGCCTCGCTATTGCCGCTTTCACCAAGACTTGGTACGCGAGACGGATTTCCGACACAGCTAGGCAGCCCACGCCTGAGGATCGGCTGCCGCCCATGATTGCGGGATCTTTCGTCCTTCCAATCGGTGAGATGAGTTGGCGCTCTTATCCCTAACGTTGACAGCGAGGGATAACTAATCGCGAAAGTCTTTAGGTCTATTCTGGTTCGCTTGGACATCGGACCCGTCAATATCTTGGGTAGCACAGGTTCTTTCCGGCCTCTTCATTGGGGCCGGAATCATCTTGATCTTCATGACCGGTGTCGTATACCTGATCGACGTCTACGCTAGGAACGCTAACAGCGCTCTCGCCGTCAACACCTTCATCCGCTTCGTCGTCGCGGCATCCTTCCCTCATTTCACCTCCAGCATGTACATGTCGATGGGCGTTGATTGGGCCACTACCCTTCTCGGCATTATATGCATTGTGCTGATACCGTTTCCCTTGCTATTTTGGAGGTGCGGCGGGAAGATCAGAAGCTGGAGTCGTTTTGCATTCAATCCTGAAGGATGAAAGATCTGGCTTTCCTTCACTTCGAACGACTATACCCAGCGCACAGGGTTCGTTTAGTGGGATATGCTGTACAGGGGAAATGAGACGATTAATACTAAAAGATGTGGGATCTAATAACTCTGCTATCCAGTCCCTTCTGTGTTTCTGGCGCCAGAGATTTCTCCTAGTACCAGAGGTAAGATCTGTATTGATACCAGTGATGAAATCGTGAGGGTGGGGTCTGGAGAGTGGGCGGAATTAAGAACTGTACTAAAAGGCTGCATCATATTGAACTCGCACATGTCTCTATACCTGACCACGAAGCCTGGAAGCTGCTCATAGCATAGTTGTTGATGGAGATTAGAGTGACAGGCATTTCGCATGCGTAGCATCCCGGGAGGTATGAACTCGGACCTCGCAACCCGCGGACAAGGGAAAGCCGACCTCGGCCAACCCCGAAGGTTTTATCACGGCGACAACTGTCACAAGGAGAAGGACGAGCAGGGAGACAACTGAAAAACGTCTTCCTCCAATATAGGGTTCTCCAGTTCCCCGGGATACGGGTAGAAGAGACCTAACGACGCTTTTCGTCCTCCATGTGTTGATAGTGACACTATTCGATGTTATACTTGGCATCCTGACCCCATCCCTCCTAGCAAACAAACGACAGCGGAAACTGCCATGGCGCCCTTGAAAGTCCTTATCATTGGCGGAGGGATTTCAGGTCCTGCTCTCGCCTACTGGCTGTCACGAATCGGCGCCAACATCACCCTCATCGAGCGCTCTCCCCAAATGCGAGCTACGGGCCAACAGGTGGATATTCGCGCCCGCGGCGTGCCCATGATGAAGAAGATGGGCATCGAGGACGCCGTGCGAGCCGCGTCCGTCCACGAACCAGGCACGCAACTCATTGACGTACACGGTCGAACCAAGGCATTCTTCCCGGCCACCCAGAACGGTTCCGGGAGGCAGAGTTTCACGTCCGAATATGAGATTCTGCGCGGCGATCTGGTTCGGATCCTGTACGGACTCACCGAGGGACGGCAAAACGTGAAACACCTGTTCAGTACTACCGTCGACAGTTTCACGCAGGATGAAGAGAGCAATCCCAACGGCAAGGTCCACGTGAGCTTCCGAGATGGTCGCAAGGAGGACTTTGATCTTGTCATCGGCACCGATGGATCCGGTTCGAGAACACGAAAGATAATGCTCGGTCCCGAGGCATCAGACCCGCGGTATCCTCTTGGTGGTCATATTGGGTATTTCAGCGTCCCATCGAAGGCGGGAGACTCGGACTGGGCGACGTTCTGCCATTTGCCCGGCCGAGTGGCCCGCATCGTTGGGACGAGAAAGGACCGCCCAGGTCTGACTCGCGTGTACATGCTTATGCATGGCAGAGACGCCGGGCTCGAGGCGGCATATCAATCTGGGAGGACAACGGAGCTCAGGAAGGCATGGGCCGATCTGTACCAGGGAGGTGGATGGGAGTGTGATCGATTCACGGACGCATTGCGACATTCCCCAGAGGCAGATGACTTTTACTGCACACCGTTCGAGGAGGTCCGACTTCCCAAGGGGTCCTGGTCGAAAGGTCGAGTGGTGCTGGTCGGCGACTCGGCGCACTGCCAGACGGCTGGCGGTCTCGGGAGTACGTGGGGTCTCGTAGGGTCGTATATCCTGGCAGGGGAGATTGTGACCCAGTACGAGAAAGACAAGTCATTGCCGACAGCAGCTGTGGTGCAGGCGGCGCAAACATACGAAGAAAAGTTCCGGCCCATAGCCACGTCGACACACGGCGGTACCGAGAGAGTTGGATTTCTGCTCTTCCCCAGATCGAGACCCGGGATCTGGCTTCTTCATTTGTTCGCAAAATTGGCGGCGCACCTCCGACTTGATGAGAGGGTCGGTATGTTCGGTGGTGAGACGTTGAAATGGCAGGTCCCAGAGTATCCTGCTTTAAAAACTGCACGCATTCCAGTCTGAAGCAAAACCTTACCTGACTTGCTTGGTTAGCGAGTAAATAGGCGGAATGCTGCGCGTGTATATTATCAATCTCCTCTCTATCCGATACCCATTTGTCTCTAAAATAGACATGAAATTCTGCTCTGGACATTCCACCAAAAACTCAAGGAAGCTTTGGCCGATTTTTGTGAGTCGAAGGCTGCGGTCCTCGGCTGGATTGTCCTTGATGATGCCACCGAATGTGACTCGGCCATCGCGTTTCTCTCTAATAACAGGTAATGTGCCTCTGATGTGGAAGAATCGAGTGTTTGACACAACGTCTGGCTAGGGAATTATCCCCGTTAATACCAAGGCTACCCTAGCCTTACAGTGGCACCCTTTTGCCCAATCAAACTTCCAGAGAACCTCGTAACCCAGCGTTCTCGCACATTCAGAGCCTTTTCTTGCTGATCTTTCATTCACGACGTTTTCAAGATGTGCAAGAATGCAACCTCCAGCGAGCGTCATTCCACATTCAACTTTGATCCGTACCGAATAGTAGCACAAGTGGTACGAGTATGCGTGGTTGAAACGTGGTGGCGAAACACTGTGGCGTGTCTCCTGGTGGGCGGCAAAGCCCCTGAAGCCGGACACTCCCCAAATGCTTAGCACGACAAACGCCTCATCAAACGCCAGATCGTTCCTCGGTACACGATAGAACTATCTTTGCACTTTTCAGATTTCGTCAAGGATCGGAAAATGGGATCTTGGCTGTGGGGAAATGGTACTCTGCAAGATTGCAGGATGCGTGATGTATAATATACGACGGTAAGGGAGGTCTTTTGGGGGGAGTGTTAGTTGATTGACTGTCTTCGAGCTGGAATCTCTCGACACCATTCTTTTGCCTGGTGCAAACACTTCGTTGAATTCTGCTGTACATTACGTCGTTGCATAGCATCATGAATTCCCTTCTTTGTGCTTTATTCTTGGGAAGTGCGTCGTTCGGCGTTGCCCATCCCATTGTCGAGAAACGCGCCGTTACGGCGCTGGACCAAGCTGCCTTTGAGGAAGCCCAACAGCGAGACGATACGGCCACGAGGGCGTTTTCGTCTATTCCAATCAAGGTATGTTGGTCGACGCCAGCAACTGTGAGGGTGACGTTGATCGGTCTTGTGACTAGACTTCAGATGGACGATGCCTCTTCGTCGATCAGTTGTCTGGAGATTTTCGTGCCAATTTGACCCCGATCCAAGTCGGTTCTTGTGACGGTAGCATTGAGCAACAGTGGGATATCATCACCGCTGGGAAGCACAACGATCGGCCAGGGGCCATGCTGATTGTCAGCACGTTGGCAAGTCAACATCATCCCTAAACATGGAGGGCAGCTTGGTCTAACTGCCGAGTCTCACAGACGCAAGCTTGCTTCAATTTCGATCCCCGTCGCGCCGCGGGAAACCAGGTACTTCTGTTTTCCTGCGGCGGACGTGCCGATGGGAGTAAGTCTCGCAATCCAAAGCCATGGAGAACCTGACACGAATGACACAATGTATTAGGTGGAACTGGGACGAACTCGCAGCTTTTCCCTGTCACTGGCAGTGCCGGCCCTCTTACCCTGACTCCCGAAAATGCACCTGGAGACTGTCTGACCGTCAATAGAGCCCACATCGACATCGCTGCCGCAACGCGGCTGATGCTAATCAGTTCTTCATGTTCGGTGATGCGAGTACTGTCATAACCACTGATGTGGGTGCTGCATCTCCTACCGTTGTGACTCAGTCGGTGCCAGCATCGATCATATCCGCCTCAACCACCTCTGCGACTGCCAGTTCAACCTCGGTGACGCTATCCCCAACCACATCGCCACCCTCTGTTGTTGTGAGCACGGTAGCAACCGCGTCTGCCTCCGCTTCGATAATCTCCGTTTCCCGTGCTGGCAGTGTCCTCAATCCCTCTGCTGCAGCAGAAGCAAACCCTCCTGACAACACCGCTACGCGCGCCTTTTCATCCGTCTCGCTCAAGTCTGCCTCTGGTCTTTGTCTCTTCATCGATCCCACGGCTGGCGACTTCCGCGAGAACCTAATACCGATCACCCTTCAGCCATGCGACGGAAGCGCAAACCAGAGGTTTAACATCATTACCGCGGGCATTCACAATGACCAGCCGAATTCCGCTCTGATAGTTAGCATCCTGACACAGGGATGTCTGAATTTCGATCCTAGGAGGGCCGCTGGAGATACGGTGATCATGTTCAGTTGCGGGGGAAGAGCCGATGGTAGTGGCCAAGTCACCAACAGTCAGCTTTTCTCCTTTACCGCAGGGGAGGCCAGCTTGAGACTCCAGCCGGAGAATGGTGCTGGAGCGGTGTGCTTGGTAGCAGATGCAGCAGGCAGGATGGATCAGGCGACTTGCAGTGACAATCCTAGCCAGGTGTTCAATATCAGCTGATGTGAGAAATGAATACTCAGGCCTTGTAGGACTTTTCTCGTGTGGTCGGTTAGACAGTCTGTTAGGTCCTGCCCCCTGAGCTTGCCCTCAGATACTCGACCCTTTTCCGCCGTATGACGCGGTGCTCGCACAAGTGCCAATCGTGGTGGCAACAGCATGATCCTATCAGTGACTCACTTGGTTTCTGTGTTAATCACTTGGGATTATGAACGGGTTGGGTGATTGAGAGAATCCTGACGAGGAGTTGAAGTACTGAAAACGGGGTGTCCGGTTGACGCAGTGCCAAGACCGGATGGCCTAGGCCTTATTAGGCTAGTCACATTCTGAACAGTCATTGTGACTGAGAAAAGAGCAAACAATCGGTTGCGAATACCAAGGCACTCGCAACCGATCCAATGGAGAGCAACACACCCACGATAACTGTCCGTAAGCCTCACGCATGCGGAGGCACTTTAGTTCCGTTTCACTCTAGCAAGGCAGGATGAGACCCATGAGGCTGAGCACTGGGCTGGGGGCAGTGCATGGTGACAGACGCGCCAACTTTTTTCGAAGGACACCTTGCTGGTTTCGATCCTTCAACAAAGACCAATGCGTATGAATTAACTATTAAAGCCCATTTTCTCAGTTACGAGCATTCAATTAGACTTGGCAGTTTCTCCTTGGGAACTGCAAAATGCTCGCCCTTGACGGCTCAACCCTTGAAGGCGGCGGCCAGCTTGTCCGTGTGGCTCTCTCACTGTCAGCCATCTGCGAGGTCCCTATTCGCATCTACAATATTCGCGCCGGCCGAGGAGCGAATTTGTTCTATAAGCAGACCAACAACGGTCGAGGGAACAGGAACGGACATGGGAATAGGGGAATCTCTAGCCCTAGCGCGAGGGCAACTGGTGGAACTGCAGCGACTGCTGCAACTGCAAAGCACGGACCCGGCGGTGGGCTAAAAGAGAGCCACCTGGCGGCATTGAGGTGGTTGGCCCTTGAGTGCGGTGCGGAGGTTGAAGGTGCAGAGGCGAGTAGTCAGGACCTCATGTTCAAGCCTGCACGACTGAAATATGGGAACCGAGATGCGAGACGAAACAAGACGGAAAGGAACGAAAGTGGGGAGCCAGAAGTGATCGAACTGAAAAATCCTGGAAGTGTCTGGCTCATCTGGCAAGCGATTTTCCCGTATATTGTCTTCTCGATGCTCCGCCGTCGCAGGGAGAGGCCAGAGACGCCGGCCTTCCGCATCCGTTTAAGGGGCGGAACGAACGTCCCGAAATCTCCGTCGAGCGAATACATGCAACAGGTGCTTCTCCCTTTGTGCGAGCGCATCGGACTGCCCAAAGTCGACATTCAAGTCCTCAGGCGCGGGTGGACGACGGGGGTGTTGGAGATCGGGGAGGTCGAGATCTCCGTGTTCCACCCGAGACAATTTCCGGAAGACGACAATGCGAGGAGGAAATCGGAGGCTGACCGCCGGTCAGAGAAGCAGAAGGGGAGAGCTGATGGCAAGGAGGACGAGGAGAGTAAAGGCTTCGCCCTCCCTTCCTTCCACATAGCTTCACCTGGACCGATCACCATAACATCCGTCTCAATGACAATCCTCGCAGGCTCCCCTAAGACGCATTCGCTTGCTGAGTTAAATCTCGTCAACGCCCTGCGAAAGATACCGCCGTTCTCGTCCCCCTCCATCCCCGTCCAATTACACCCTTCCTCTGCGGACTCGGGCGACGAGCGCCGCCTCTACATTCTGCTAGTCGCACGGACCTCTGCGGGCTACGCCCTGGGGAGAGACTACCTCAGCCCAGGCCGGAAGGTCACGAACGAAACAGAACGCCACCGCATGGTAGAGGAAGCAGTGGGCCACGTGGTACGCAGCTTCACCCGGGAGTGTGTCAGGGGGAGCTGTCTCGATGAATTCGCCGAGGATCAGTTGGTCATTTTCCAGGCTCTTGCGGATGGGGCGTCGAGTGTCGACGTGGGAAGATCGGGCAAGAACAAGGAAAAGGGGGAAGATAGCGGGAGTTTACACACGAGAACGGTACGGTGGGTGTGTCGCGAGATGTTGGGGACGGTGTTTGATGGGCTGGGCGGATGTGAAGGGCGTGGGCTGTGCAGGGAGGAAGGAGGTGTTGATATGGTAAGAGAAGGGGTGGAAGTGCTGAATATCGACGAAGACGAGGAAGAATAAAACCATCGGTAATCCAAGCGTGGACACCTCTGATGTGTTTTGGAACAGTACGCCAGGAGACTGTTGTCGTCGCGCTGCCTAGAGCATAGAGTGAATTCAATCAGTGTAGATCCCATCCTAACCATTACCATTTGCTTATTACCCCTGCGAAGAAGCGCCCAAAAGAGCCACGGGGTCGGTCGCTAGAGTCAGCATCCGTGAACATATTCCTGATGTGAGTAGCCTCCTAGGCCTGACACCATTTTACCTGAGCAGAGGCGGACATCCACTAAATACATTGCAATTATGAAGTCCTACCGCTAACAAGCCCGTCCATCGAGTTGAGTCAGAGAAGCAGGATCAATCAAAGACAATTTTAGTTCCTCGAGGACACTGAGGTGTAGGTTATGGCTGTCATTTCGCGGACTTGACCGCACGCCTCGATCTCGCAGAAGGCATTTGATGTGCCCGTTCCAGTGGTGGCTTCCCGTTAGCCTCTGTTATAGGAGGCGTTCGACCTTCGTGCTCGAATGAATGACTGTTCAGATTCATTTCCTGGCCTTTTTATGGTTTGACGATCTTTTTGTTTGGTTTGTGGGTTTGGAGCATTCCGTGCATGTCCTCGTCTGTCGCGTCTGTTCATAAGGACATTCTGCTATTGTAATACTTGAACACATTTTCGCGCATGGGTCCGTCGAACTCGTGATCAATATCATCCTCGGCATCGAACTCCGACGAACTTGCCACAGCGTAGACATTCTCTCTCTTCAAGTTCCCAGTGACATCGGGGGCAACGCACAACATTGTCCCCCGGATCTGGTATTATTAGACCCGGTGGTGACGAGTTGCGCTCTAGAGGCTCCTAATCTTGAGCACCAGCTGCACCACGGCCTCTTCCGCCCCTGGCAGCACGTTCAGCAAGAAGCTTCTTCTTCATTTCCTTATGCGCCAAACGTGTGGCTTTGTCGTACTTGCCCTTGCCCAGAAGCGGAAGACCGGGAATCTTACCCGTGGCATTGGGGTCTGGCTTCGGCTTCGTAGAGACCAGTTTAGATTTTGGCCCTCGAGCTTTGACAAGATTCTTGCGTTCCTTCTTGGGCTTCTTTACCTTCCAAGGTTTTAATTTCTTGCCATCAGCCCGGCTCGAACTTGATTTCGGATTGCCCTCGCTGTTATCGAATTGACCAAATGAGATGAAGTCAGCTGCGAGCTCTGCTTTGGCATCTGCTGCTACGCTTGGCGCAGGGACTTGAGCAGATTCTTCAGCCGTTTGCACGGTCTCGCCAGACACAGCGACACCGTTAGACTTCCTGGCTGCCTGTTTTGCCTTCTTCAATGCCTTTCTCTCGGCCTTGGACATTTCGTTTGAAGTTGTGGTTGCACCTTGATCTGCTGTATCAGTCGGACTGATAGTGGGTTTTCCCTCCGCACTTTGCGGCTTTCCCTCACCTTCGGCAGCAGTACTTTGGGCTTCACCTTCAGCAGGCGTCTCCGTGGACTCTGACACTAGCGTGGGATTCAAGGCGATACCAGCTTCGTCCGTCTTGCCTTTCTTCGTTTTATTCTTTTTCTTTTCTTTTTTTTCTTTTTTTTCTTTCTTGCCTTCTTCCACAGCAACTTTGTCTTCAGACGGATCAGTTGCGGGCTCAATAGACAGAGCAGGGACATCCTGCTCATTCTCAATTTCTTTCAGTCCCCTCTCAGCGGCCAACTTCTGGCTCAAGGCAGTTGAAGGCGTTGTCAAAGTTGAGGACGGCATGTCTAGCCCGATCTCTTTCATTTTCTTGGCCTTCTTGTCCCGTCTGCGTTGCTCTTTCTCGATCTTTTTCTTCCACTGCTCTTCCGTCTTGGGTGCGGCAAGACGTTCCCGTTCGAGTTTCTCGTGAGGAATCTTCCGGAACTTCTTATTTGCGCCTTTCCAGACATCAGGGTGTAAAGAGCCGGACTCGGCGTATTTACACTTGAGAATGTGACCGAACATCAGATAATTGTCCATAGTTTCCGCCACGATCTTTGCGACCTCGTTGGAAGCGAATTCGATAAAGGCAAAGTGTTTCGACGCGCCAGTGCGTTTGTTTCGGGACAGCCGCAGTCGGGTGATGTCTCCAAATTGAGAAAAGTAAGCCCTCATCTCCTTCTCGTAGAATCCATGAGGTATGCGGCCAACGTAGACAGTTCCTGGCCCATTGCCATTGCCTTTAGCTTTGGCTTTCTCCAACTTCTTTTGGGTCTTCTTCGATTTGGGCAAAGGAGGAGTTGTTCCAAAGTCGAACCCTTCGTCTTCTTGCTTGTCCTCGGTGTCACTGTCAAATCCAGCCAGTAGAGCGGCAGCATTGTCATCTGCCTCGACCTCGGCAGCATCCTCCTGGTCGTTCCCGCTGGCAAAGCCACCAAACTCCTCTTCAAGCTCATGCTCGAGAGTCCGTTCGGCCTCCGCCTGCATTGAAGTGGACACGGGTTTATGCGAGGTTGCAGTCTCGAGATTCTCCGCCCCGATATGCTCTATCACGCCATTGACGCCATCAGCAGTGAGGGTCTCGCCAATGACGCTGTTCTTGTTTTTCTTGTTCTTCTTATCCTTCTTTGACTTCTTCTTGACTGGCTCGACGTTATTATCGGCGGGTTTGTCCACCTCAGCTGTACTTGTAGTGTCTCCTGGCACTAAGGTCCCGTCATCATTCATGAAGTCGGAAGCTCGCTTGCGAGATTTTTTTGATTTCTTTGCAGCGACATTGTCGGATGGGGAGGTTTCTTGCCTGTCGTCGGACGTGATTTTCAAGACTTTGTTAGGCTCCGCAATCGCAGCGGCGTTCTTGAGCTCGGTTTTGGAAGCATCCTTCTTGTCGGTGGTCGTTGATTTCTTGCTTTTCTTCAGAGGTTGGTCAGTCGCACCCGACGACTCTACTCAAGGTCAGCTAATGCCAGTGGTTCAACTAATCGCGATTCAGCATACCCTTGCGTTTTTTAGTACCCATTGCTGCACAGGCGCTGTATGCAATAATCAGACGTGTATCGGCCACTTATTCTCCCAAGCCTGTTTGGCCTGTTAATCCAGAAGTCGAGATTCAATCGCAGCATCCAAAATTTTCTCCAAATTTTGCTTGGCATGGGGAGCGCCAAGCGGCGACTAACTTCGTATGGAGATTGTTCGCAAGAGGAAGCTTTTCCGGAGCCAATATGTGAACTTGCTCTGCATCAAATGCCAAGACGCTAAAAGACCTCTTGGCGTGCGCGGTCGAATGTGGTTGTCTTTGCAAAGGAACCAGGCTCGAGGAGCACGACCCCGAAACAGCGCGGGATTCATAACCAACTACCCGTAGACACCAGAACCACCAGTCAGCCTGCATCTGCTCAGAGGTGTCAGCTTTCTATAACGACGTTTCTATGTCTCCGGAGTTGCGGTGACAACTTCGCCCAGACGAAGTTGACATTCCTTAATATTGGGTCTTGTACGGCTGAACAAAATCAAGCTCTACACGCTCTGGGGGTGACTTCAGGATTTGATCTAATCCCTGAGATAAAGACAAGCGGACTCCCATGCTCATGCGTCCACCTTGCCGGCGAATTATGCTCATTACCACAACAAACCATGTTTCTCTCCCTACTTTCAGGTGTACGCCCCAGTCGGTTGTTCCATCCTCGTCAACACATCCGGCCAAGGATGAAGGACATAATTTCTCTCTGCCGTGATGCTAGCACTGCTTCATATCAACGGACTCTTTCACCGAACAGATTAATTAGGCGGCAAATCGTGTTGATGTCCTGTTTCAAATACCAGAGAGACATGCAGATATACGGCTGGGTTATACTGAATTGTCTGTAGCAATGACTACACCATGGCAGAGGGATCATTGTATTTGCAATACTGTCACTTAGAACCATGACTGAGAACAGTTGCCATGGACATCACAGATCTCTCGCTCCGCTAAAGAAAATCCACCAAACGGAACAAATCAGGGCCCTTCCACCAGAGCTCAAAGCTCATCCTTCTATCAATGATTCCATCCCACTCGGCCGATGCGTAAAATTCAACGTGGTCTCCACCACCGGCCTTCAAACTGCCTTCTCTCCGTTTACGCTACTTCATTATATGCCAGAATAGATATGACCAAAGACGCCGGCATTGCGAACGGCAAGTGCGGCGTACACGTCGGCACACTCTCCATGGGCTAGTAGAGACACACGTGGGCAATATCCAACGAAGCGCATGAAGTCATTTGCGGTAGGGAGAGTATGTAATCCAACAAAATAGGGCAATGCCACAAGCATCTTGTCTCACTGATGGGGCTAGCGATATTAACAGGTTTAAGTGGGCCGAATGATTGTGGGTGTGCGGCCTTGAAGTTCTTCATCAGAGGAATATTCTTTGACAACACGATGACGACGCCGATGCTTTCTGAGACCTCTCGGCCTTAGATTGGTACGTTTGGCCATGGAAGAAACATTCGGTGGTGGAGGACTCGAAAATCCGCACAGTCCACGCACCTTCGGAGAATTGCATCTTCAGTGTGGGCCGGCGACTGTTGTCTAGCTAGCTTTTCTTCGATAGTCGTACAGTAGCACGTATCTCCATCCAGCCTCTTCTGCAACAGCCTACTTCCTCCGCATGCGGATTGTGAGGTCTCCTCACCATTTGGACACGCCATTGCGACGGATCCGGGGCTTGGGGTTGCAATGGTCGCAGTCAGAGCATATACTTGTACAGGGAGATAGACTGATATGATTTAAGCGCGAGCTTTACAACAGTTGTGCAGATATGAACGAGGACTCGGAGAAAGTCGGAGATAGGAGAAAGGTACCTACAAGTACAAGTACATGTACCATTGATGGGTACAGTCGAAAAGGCCTGCCCAAGAAAATACGTGAGGGCGCAATTCTTTCCCAGTAATATCAGTAAGTCATCATGAGACATTGGCCATAGATATGGAGAAGAAGCGCCGTACACCGTGGCGGGGTAGTTGAGCTCTTCAGTGAACTGCATGAGCTCTTTTATGCTGGAAGTGCTAGAATCTTTGATAAGCAGGATAAGGCCTTGGAACACAGCTGTCATAAGAGAACATCACTCGACACCTCCGTGGCAAGCTTTTTGTGATTGGGCTGAGGATTTTGAGCGTACTCCTTGGGTGCTTGAGAGGGCCGTATTAGCTTACGGTACCTTGCCACTTGGGCCAGAAAAACTACCTCATAGTCCCCGCGAACATACCTAAACACGAGTAACGACACGCGTTCTCAATACCCCAGAGCAGGAATCAAAACATGCGCGGATTACACAAATCCTTCCAGGTTTCGTGGGGAAATGAATAGGCTGGGCGGACGGATATCACGAGCTATCAAAACACTCGAAGAGATCAGGGAAATTCTCTCTGAATGGCTGATTGGTTCGGTCACCGAGGTTGGTCATCCGAGAGGGAGGACATGCCTATCAGGAGGCATCTACTTGTACTTTGTATTCCACAAATTAGGCCGGAAGGACAGGCTCACGGATGGCCGGGCTTCTTCTACTTGGCCTTTCCTTTCTATTCAGGGCAACAATCCATGAGTTGGCAATGTTTGAGTTTCGATTATCAAGCTTCCTCGTTGAGTCAAACGTCGTGGGCACATAGAGTAGAATCAAGGGACCTTAGTCCCCACGGGAGATAACTGGAGAGGACTGTCTCCATGCTTTCTAATGGAGAATGGGCTATGAACTGTGTAACCCGTAACGAGGGAACTAACTTGTTAACGCCGCATCAGAGAACGATGGTCACCAGTGCGACGGAAGAAAGAGGTATGTGATCGCCCCTAGAATGGGGATAGAGCGAGAGCGCTGGCCGCCGTGGAGCCCCTTTGACGCCCATTCCGCCCCATGACCAAAGCCTGGTGAGCCGAACAATCCGCGCCGTTATGCCTCGTGCGTCATTGTGTCCGGGTGGACCAGTCCCAAAACACCTCAGCTCTCGTAAGTGTGGACCAGCCACCTCCAGCCGCCTCCCCGCTAGGTATGACGCGCCCACTGGCTGCTTGACTCTTGCCTGGGCAAAGTGCCCCTCAATTTGTGGAAGATGGCAAATGCATAACTTCTCTGGACCAATGGACCAAAACTGGACCGTCTGACATGCAAGCATCAGGCTGACCTAAACCGAATGCTTCATTCCTGTTCGCGAGGGAGTTCCCACCCTTGTCGCTGTAGGCGGATCACCCGGACCCTTCTCTAGTACAATTCGGCCTCCAAGGTCTCTTCGGAAAGACGAAGCTGCTTTGCCTGAACGAGTACCGAGTACTAAAACAATATGGCTCGTTGCCATCCTTTCGTACGATTCGATGGGGCGAGAGGGGGTTGGTGAAAGCGCTTTTCCGGTCTGGCTGATCTTCCCTATGACTGTCGCTTATGTGGATTGGTAACCAGCCATGAGGCGCTTTTAATCACCCGTCCGGCCTCCCCTCCCACGCTTCTTATTATCAGATTTCCGACTCTACAAGATCTTGCCCTCTTGAATACCTTCGATCTAGCATAGAGATATCCGCCTTGGCACAATTTCCGAGATTGAGAACGTCGAGGCTGGAAACGAAAAGGACACTCGATCATCAATTACTGGAACACGGTATTCCAACCACCTGTCACCAACACACCTGAGCAGCCATGGCGCCAGTCATATGGGGTCTCGACCTGAAGGATATCCATTGGAGGAAGTTCGGGAGCGACTATATGTGGAAGAACAAAGACTACCACATGCGACGGACCAAGTTCGTGATCTACCAGGTTGCCATGATATGCATGGTTGTTTCCGAATCAATAGGCACCGCTGCCTTAACAGGTGAGCATCTCGAGTCCCGCGCTGCGGCGGAGAACATTTCTGACTTTCCGGAATAACAGACTACGTCAAGCAACAGTCGAGGATTGAGAGTTTACACTCTTCGGCAGCTGTACACAACGACGACTTCGTCGGAATTGCTTCATACAATATTTTCTGTGGTGTGGCGGTTGCTACCATCTTCGGGGCTGGGTTCTTCTTCGATCTCTTCTTCCCTGAGCGCTATGAGCCCAAGAACATTCGATGGTCATGGAGACTCAGTGCAGTCTTTGTGACGTTGTGTACCATTGGCGATGCACTCGCCTTCACAGTCATTGTGGCAACTGGCAAGTCCTGGATCTCGGCCGACACACAGGACGCAGAAGAGATTGCTCAAGAGAAAATCAACCCTCCGTTGATCTATCGGCACAACGGCAGAGCCATTGCCGCCATCGTGTTCCTGTGGATTGGCATGTGTGCAACTGTAGCTAGGTGAGTATTGGAGGCCATCAATAAGAGGGAGATTCTGACATGAATAGCTGTATCATCATGTGGCTCTACTACCAGCATCTTGACACCTATGGACCGAAATCCCACACTGCTCGCTTGCGGGATGAGGTTGACAAGACGATCTTGATCAACGAGAGAGCCCAAGCGGGCATGAGCTCCCGAGAACAGATGACTTTCAACTCAATGTAAGCACTCGTGGTTCCTTTAGGCCAGAGTAGATCCCGATTCTGACATCCTTTCTAGCCCATACAGCTTGAAGCCTTGAAAGCATCAAACTTTCTTCATCTATGGATGAAGTACAACCTTGCTAGACCTGAGCAAGAGTTGGAGAGGATCCTCCGCCTGTTCTCAGAATTTGAAGTAGGCACAACGTTTACTAGCCTCCAACTGAACCCACATTCACAGACCGACCCAGTTGTCGAGGCATGCTGGGGCCGAACGGTGCCACGGTCAAAAGGGCTCCACTTTGTTGTTTCCCTGCGAGCTTCGTATACATCAAGCCTTTACACTCTTGTGTTGGCATTGTGCAGTGGCAGATTCAGACAGCGACGAGTGTTCGCCGGCGTTTTGAGACTTCTCACCGAGTCCAGACAGCGGCTTGGACAGTACAGGAAAATTGGAGAGCATAAAGTCTGGGAGTATTGGATCGTCCGGGAAGAGTATCACGGCGGGTTTTAATCATCACGGAGTTTGGGTGATATGTTTAGACACTTCTCTGATTGTGCACGTGTTAGAAGATGTAGTTTCCAAAAACAATATGGAAAAGGATTAATATGAGGTGATCTTCTGGTGGCCTCCGGTCCTCAGCCTTACGCCCACAGCAGCTCCCAGCCTTACAACTGCCTTGACAACTCCGGCTTCTCTATCTATACTCGGTACCAACAGCGATGTTATTCACAATCGATATCATCCCCATCCCGTCCCCCGCCAGCTTTGGCTCGTTTGGGTCTTATCATAGCAATGGGTCACTTTCGCCTAGACAAGTGTAACTGGCGATTGGTGTCACAGTAGCTGTGGCAATCATTGTTCCCCTGCGCGAAATCTGGAGCGAGAACCAAAACGTCAATGTGCTTGGCGCTGCTAGCTTTTCTCCACCTCTTCCATTTTTTTATTCATATAATTCTTGTGTCAAAATTGACAAAAAAATACTCGCCAAGCCGCTATGGCGCAGGGGTAACGCGTCGCACTTGTAGTGCCGAGGACTCCAATGTCTTGACGGTACAATACATGCGAAGATCACAAGTTCGAATCTTGTTGGTGGCAAAATTTTTGCACCGTGTACACTTTTGTAACTCCAACCAGGGATCCCAGCATCTTTGTTTTTTTTTTGGGGCCCTGTAGAAATCTCTTAGTCCTGAGCGGAAATGAATTTCATCAGTCCTCAAGCCGACTGAAAACAAAGTTTTCGAGAAGCCCAGCTCCAAAGCCTTGTATAGACGCAGAGGGTTTACGATGTCATATTGCCTTCTATATTCTCTCGATATTGTTTTGAAGTGAGAGCCAAAGAAAAGATATTTAACCTAATTTAACATGGGGCTGCGATGGTTTCTAACACGTTTCTTGTCTTTCCAGGGGGCTCTGGATCTTAGAAACCTTCTCTCTACGGCTAGATAAGTAGCTGAAGTACATAATACCACAAGGTACCACCAAGGTGTGCCTGGCCAGCTGGCTCAAAGTGGACAAGCGCTACACATGCTCAGCTTGGGTCGAAGATTCAAGAGCAGTATTCGTTTTTGTCCACGGATATTGACAACAGAGAGCGCTCGCCTCAGCCGGGAAGTGCCTTGTCGAAATGATTCGGCAAAGTGGCGTATGCGGTCTGTCACTGATTGGTACAGCATTCACAGATGAGTACTTGACGGCTGTTTTGGTAGCCACATTGGAGGGGACTAGCAACATGGCAATCCTTGCGATTACACTCGAGATATTCAAGCATGAGGTAACAATATTCGCAGCGCTTTTCACGGCATTGCTAAGAGCAATTTTGGTCATAGAGTATCTGTGGCTGGGAAAGTTTGTAAACTCACACCCACGCCACAAACCGCATGCTGTTGGACTGCTGAACAGCTCGTTGAATCGCCTGCTCGCCAGATAACTGGGCATTGCGGACGTCTAGGGGGCTCTGTGCTCCTTGATCGCTAGGCTCTTAACCGGTAGGCTGCAAAGCATTGTTCATTAAATTGCACCCCTAGAGTGTTAATCGCACACTCTTCCAGCAAAGTACGAGGTAGGTTCGCGATTTCTGAGCGGCATTCCAAGACCAGCCAAGAGCACAACCAAGACACAAACCCCGCTTCCAGCCTCCTCCAAGCCAAATAGTTGAATTTCCTTCTTTTCTGCTTCTTCCTCGATTGCATCTTGACCTCGTGGATATAAAGCACCTCAATGTCGGAGAAGACAAATTTCATCTACAGGAGTAGCCAGTCAATGATCCATTTCCCTCCCACTCAGGTTAACTGAACACTCAGCTCTTGGCGGTTTTCTATATATTGGCCTCAAAGTCGTGACTGAGAATTGACCGCCATGAGCACCGAAGCTTCTGGTCCCTCAGACTTGATTCATCAAGTCCTCCCCTCCACAGACTCGCCTTCAAAACCTCACACCAGCAGCCATGGCTCTCCCCACAATGGCCCCGGTGGCCTTTTGACAATTCACCACGAAGGAGAATCTGGCCGCAGCGGCATCCACTTCTGGTCTTTCATGAACATCTTATGGCGCTCCTCATCCCAGGTCTCCATGGCCGTCAACATCCTATGGCCCTTTGTTCCTGTTGCCATAATCCTCCACTACCTTCCCGGCCATCACTCGACTACACTGAACAAATGGGTCTTCGCAACAAGCTACATTGGCATGGTCCCCGCAGCGAACCTCTTGGGCTTCGCCGGCCAAGAGCTCGCGCGAAAGATGCCAAAAGTAGCGGGAATCCTGATCGAGACAGCCCTAGGCAGTATCGTGGAGATTGTCCTATTCATGATTCTAATCGCAAAACACAAGAACACAGAAAAAGGTGGCGATGACAGCTCCGCAGAAGAGGGAAATTTGATTCCGGTTATCCAGGCCGCTATTCTTGGGTCTATTCTTACTAATCTTCTGCTTTGTCTGGGTTTGTGCTTCTTTTTCGGCGGCATTCGTCGACAGACACAAACTTTCCATGCCGTTGTCTCTGAAGTTGGTTCTGGCCTCCTTCTCGTTGCTGGATTTGGTCTCCTAATTCCAAGCGCATTCTATTCTGCGCTAAAAGGCGAGACACGCCCACAGAGTGGCTTCACAGAACACAAATTGCAATACGACGTGCTGAAAATGAGCCAAGCGACCAGCATTATCCTGATGGTCGCCTTCGCCGTCTACATCGTCTTCAATGCGCGCAGTCAGCATAGCATTTTCGACGAGATACTCGAGGCAGATGAGGTTAATGATGCAGATCGGGCGCACGACATGGCAAAGGAGAAGCTGACATTTACTGAATGTGTCGTTGCAATAGTCGCCTCGTTGACGTTCATTACCCTCCTTGCCGTCTTCCTTGTCGAGCAGATCGAAACTATCGTGCATTCCGGTGTGCCTGATCAATTTCTCGGCCTTATACTTCTTCCGTTGGTTGAAAAAGCGGCCGAGCACCTGACCGCAGTTGACGAAGCTTGGGACGGGCAGATGAATTTTGCCTTGTACCACTGCCTGGGCCCGAGCATTCAAACAGCACTTTTCAATGGCCCACTTGTTGTCATCGTGGGCTGGGCTCTTGGGAAACCAATGGACTTGAATTTCGAGATCTTCATGATTGCCCTACTCGTATTGTCGATTCTAGTGGTTGGGAACTTCTTGAGGGATAAAGAAAGCAATTACCTTGAGGGGACGTTGTTGGTGGTGAGTTCGGGCCCTGTCGAGGCCCTCCTTGGGCGTGTAGTGGATTCTGAGTGCTGATTCGGACGTATAGATTGTGTACCTCATCATCGCCATTGCGGCCTGGTATTATCCGGACCCGGACGTGGCAACATCAAATGAATTCGACGGCTCTTGGATCGCTGCTGGAATTCCGCCAGGAGCAACTTCAACAGCTTCTTTGCAGTTCAAAGCGCAGGGGCCAAGAGTGTTCTGATGCGACTCATTCCCACGGAGGACTTGGTTACTGGAGGAGATGCTATTCTCGTGGAGGAAGACATCATCAACAAATTTCCTGCTGCTTCCTAACTAGGTAGGATATCGAGGACAGCATCGTATTGACATACTTTGAGGATGCTTTAATCACATGGTCAACTGAAACGGCATATGGTCAACTATAAAAGGGAGGCAGAATCTGGTGAGGTCAGAAATCGGGGCACTTCTGAGGGATAATGATATTTGTTCGCGGCCAGCCCCTCACCTAGACGGGGTCCTGCTTGAGTCCACTAATGCGACCTGGGATCTCAAGCTGGTTGCCCCTTCAATCAACAATTGCATCGCTCCCAAGTCCCAATGACACACATTCTCTTTTTGGCTTTATCGTGTTTTTCAGCACACTTCCACCCTGTATCGATACCAGGCCAAGTCCCATCGAAAGTGCAGCTCGACCATTGCCGGTCTCTGCATCAAAGAGCCTCTGGGGCAAGCCAATCTCGGAGGACACCGTCGTTGTTGGTCCCAGCCTCGTTCTCCCCAGTCCTTGACTTGGGGGTCGGACTTTTGCGGAACTTGCGAGCTACTACCTTCAACGCCGGTTCGGCCCTGGGATTGACACTTCTGCGATTCGCTGACGTCGCCTCGTCGCTCTTGCGTGTTAACTCGTGACTGGGAGTTGGTGCCTAGGTACGCTCTGGTGGTCTCAAGGACTCTCATTCGGGTTTGTTCGAGACGCTGCATTTTGAGCAGCAGATTTTCCGGGACCTGTTCATCGACTGAAAATTGCTGCGTCAAGGTCACAGTCGTCATGGGTTATTGTCCGTCTTAGCCCCAAATTTGGTATGCAGGGACGGGCCCCCCTTGAACCTCACGATCCTTAGTCGTCAAGAGCCCCCCGGCCATGTTATTCCCCGGCCGCCCGTCTTTGGATGTGCCAGCATCTTTTGTCTTCTCATCAGATATGCCGTGCGGCAGATTTTGTTCAGATCTCCTCAACTTCCGAAGATCCGCTAACCCACTCCTTGAGGCTATGTCCTTAGGATGGTAGCAACGCTCTGACTCTGGACGTCTCTGATACCTGCCGCACACGGGTTTGACACTGTCACAGCCTTTAGGTGACAATATACAGTGTGTACATAGCGATCTCTCCTCGGTACTTTGACCCTTTTGCCTTTCTCGCCAGGAAGGACGATTCCAGTGCTTTACCCAGTGGCTTGGATTTGGTCAGCCTTGTTCAAATAGCTCACCATTTCTCTTATACTGTCACAATTCCGATGGCCATGCTTACCTTGGGCATCAGGAAGTTCACGCGCTTGACTATAGTCCTTGTTTGGATGACACTTTCCATTCTAAATGACTCAACACCAGGGTTTCCCAACAGCGAATCGATGGTATGAGGCTACTGGTCTGAACTTTTGTTGGTCGCGGTGTATTGAAATTGATAATTGATTCACTCAAGGGGAAGCATTCAATTTTGGGATCGACCACCGCTCTCAACCACTCTATTGAAAGAAGAGATTGATCCGGTATCTATGGAATGGCGTTCTATCGGACTCAAGACAATGTATACCCTAAGATGAAGAGGTGGGAGAACAACAGACTGAGCCCATTTCAGACCACGAGCAGGACCATGATATAAATTGCCCCTGACCATCTGCCGCGCTGGCCTACCGATCAGTCGATTTCGCAGCTTCAGGGCGCATTTTCCCCCATGATGATGGACTCATTTCCCTTCGACACGAACCCATTTACAACTGCGACAGGCGGGGCGGGGGCGGGGGGGTGGCCGTATGCAAGAACAAACAGCTCTAACGTGACAAGACGTACATCGACCTCAAGCAACGAAAATGTAGTAGAATGAAGTTTCTGTCAACTAGGCGAGATCGGAGACATGAGACTGTAACAGAGGCGAGAGAGAGAGGTGCGATAGAGAGAGAGTTGAAGTGAGAGAAGTGACTGGAAGTAAGAGAAGTGTGGGACGTGTGGCAAAAGGAAGCAAGAAAGGGAAGGTGAGAAAGTGTACCCAGTAATGAAAGAGGGCTTAGAAGTTCAAGTGTAGTCTAGTGAAATAGGAAAGGATAAATAAAACACAGGCCAATGCCAAGGGTGTTGCGAATATAGCACTGTAAAGAATGGAATTGCCACAAGTGTTGCATAGCATCAGCTCCGTATACACCATAGGTACAGTACCCCCAGGTCTCATTCTCGGCAATGAACGCTTTGTTGTTGGTGTTCACGTAGAGTACCATTGAGCATACAGCCAGTGGTAAATAATACCGTGGAGACGGTACGTCGTTGCAGCCTGTTCAACTTACGTCGCTGGATCGCGGTTGTCGCAGCACATTATTGCATACTAAAAGGATATGGAAAATTTTAGTGTCCCACAAAGATGCGCCCTGGTGAAAGAAGACCAATCTCATTGGACGAAGCGGTGCCAATTGTCGAGGGATTTTGACGGCGTCGGAGACGGAATCTTTGAGCCATGGTGCAGATTCGCAGATGATTCCACGTCCCACGTCGGCCACCTACGCAGGAGGCCAAGAGGGGCCATATGCAGGCAATTCAGTAGCCCCAGGTTGCGACCGTCTGGAGTCTCCAGATCATTTTCATTGGCTAATTCTTGCCAGCCTGGCCATGTACCTGGCATGTTGCAGCCCCAGCGAGTCTTTGATCGAGAGGCTGGTGGGCTCCGCAAATCTGTTCGACTCGAGGAGTCGAACAGATTTGCGGAGACAGTGGCTGACAGAAGTGGGGACGGGGAACTTACAGTACAAAAGTTTAGTGGAGAATTGGATGGGTGGAAATCCGTCGAGACGTTCGCCAGCTGGGATATTTTTCAGGGCAGGCAGCAATGGTTGTATGGTATCCGAACTGCTCTACCGAGTACTGGAGAACCAAAAAAAAAAAGCGAAAAAGATAAAAAAAATAAAAAGAAAGTCAAGGGCTCGGTGAAGGACTACAGGCTCGGTGACATTTTCTCTGGAAAACGGAACATGCAACCATGCGCAGCCCAAAGGACAAGGCTTGTTCCATATGGAACAATCCCTGCAACCTCATTGTCAGTCCAAACCGGTAGCCCGTTAACGTAAGTCAGATAAGTCGGCGATATAACACATGTTTGGCAAAACGGAGTTTCTAATAGGATGGGCCTGTTGGTGCCATTTGAATGATGATGCGAGAAGGCAGAGTGGATTTGTGAGCTGGGAATATCGTTTGGCTTTATAGACCTTTGGGGCGGTACGGTGGAGTGAGGTGACATGTGACGACAAGGCTCCACCTCAAGAAAAGTAGCCAATCATCAGGCTGAGAGCAAGTTCGCTGTTTTTGCAAGCAGAAAGGTTTTGCTATTATGGCCTTCGTCTCTCACGTCAGTGCCAAAAGACAATGATTCCAGTCCTCTGTTATCGATTCCATGCTGGCATCCAAGAAGTTTGTCAACATCGAGCGAAGTACACTCAATTTCCCCTCTGTCCGTCTCCCTAACCACCGAGCCACCTCTTAAACTCGATTCAAGCACTGCCGCTCTCGCACAAAACCGTAATGCCGAATGAGTTGCAGTCCAAACAAGCACACTGCCCAGGCAGAGATCAAGACCCTTGTACCGCGAAGATGCTGCGCTAATGAATGACGTTCCGGCGGGAATACGTGGATGATTGCGGACCTTGTTCGTTCTGTCAGGGAGATGCCCATCATCTCCGCAGCTCGGCTCGTTATCTCGTGGCGGATGTGGCCGTTGGCTCCAACACGGGGCTAACTAAGTGAAACTTTAGGGACCTGGAGGGCTGTCGGACATGTCGCTTGTTGCAATACACGAGTTCCAGGGTTCTCAGTCGTTCTGGTTAAGTCAAGAGTGCAACCCGTTCTAAAAATCCCAAGAATACCATCACTAGGTGGGTCACTAGGAACTCCCATCGTTATTCTCTATTTCCATCTTTGGCAGCCCCGTCTCCCGAACCGCGAATGTCCGTTGTCAGTCGGATATACCCTTTATCGCCACTACCTATATCTCAGTATTTGTACGAGGTAAAATCAAGCAACACCAAATAATATTCCAGCAACGATAAGATACTCGCAATCCTAAATCTGAAATAGCAGCACCAATGTCGACTACCGTAACGACAAGCTCTCAGATGGAGCCGCAATATGAATACTTCTTTCGCGACGGGACACTGAACAACAGGCGAAAGATTCTTCGTGGTGAGGAAGCCGTCGAAACATTCGACGAAATCCCACTAGTAGATATTGGCGGCATCTTCAGTGATAAGTACGAGGAGCGTCTACTTGCGGCCCAGGAGATTGCAAATGTGTGCAAGACTGTTGGCTTCATGTACATCAAAAACCACCGGATACCACAAGAGTTGATTGACAAGGTATTTGAACTTTCCCGCAAATACCACGCCCAGCCCCTTGCTGTGAAGAAGGAGCAGGACGTTTACAAGTCGCCGACATTGCGAGGATACGAGATTCATTACACTAAAACCCCGAACGGGGAGGCAGGTGAGATTAGTCTCACCCTAGTTCGACGTTCGATGAAACACTGATCTTCCCTTGATAGTGAAGAAGGGGTCATTTCTCTACAGCTACGAGCCTGACAACGATCCGCAGCCACCTTCCCTTACCCCAGAGCAACGCGAGCAATGCATTGGGATACACAATCAATGGCCAGCTCAATTCCCAGAGTTCAAGACCACGCTCTTAGAATATCAGGCTTCACTCCTGAGCCTTGCTCGTGCGCTACTCCGATCATTTGCCCTGGGACTCGGGGCTGACGAGAACTATTTTGATCCTATTGTCACGGCACCTTTCGTCTCCATCATTCTCCAATACTATCCGCCCAGGGCTACTGGGTCGCAAGACCTAGACGGTCTCGGTGCGCATAGCGATTTTGAAAGTATGAGATATTCCCCTATCAGTGTCTCCCTAGTGTATGATGCTATAGGAGTTAACATCCAACAGCTTTTACCATCCTGAACCAGGACATGGTAGGTGGCCTGGAGATCCTTAACAAAAACGGGATCTATATCCCAGCCAAGCCAATTCGGGGGACCTTTGTTGTCAACGTGGGAGACTTCTTACAAAGAATCTCAAACGACAAATTTGTATCTACTGTCCACCGCGTTCGCAACACCTCGGGAGTGGAACGCTACTCCATTCCATTCTTCTTCAGTTTCAACATGGATGCTTCGGTTCCGGTAAGGGAAAAGTGTGTGGTCTTTTCGAGCGGGCCGACACTGATGTGGAGTTCAAGGTCATGCCAGCCTGTACCTCGGAGGCCAACCCAGCCAAATACGAACCACGAAATCTACATGAGGTATAAATTCGCACCGTGATAGTGTGAGAAAAATATCGCTGACTTCCCGACAACAGTACACGGCCGCCAGACGTAAGCGCCAACGAGAACAGCACGAACAAGGCATTCATGACACGCTTGGTTAGGTCACTGACTCGATGAAGCTAAGCATGGCTGACCTATATAGTCGTTGAGATGTAGTACCCGCCGGCTAATGACAAGTCGACGTGATCAAGCAGACTGGAGAGTTGTCGGGACATTTACGATTTGAACGAGGTTCGTAAGCGACATCAGTTGGAGCTCTTCGAAAGTCGGAAGTGTGAGTGATAAAAGGTACTAGCCAGAATAAATAAGGCTGAGCCCAAAGCAACCCAGGATTGAATGTCTGCTTGACTGCTATACTTGAACGGTACGAATCTGGCTTGACGATCCTTAAAAACAACGAATCGTTACCCGGCCTCGAAAGAAAAGTTGTAAACACAAAACCTCAATCACCTGATAATCTTGAAGATAGAAATTCCCTAACTATACGTCGGCTGTATAGAGATGTAAGAGAACTTCAACAGCAGTCGTCTAAGATTCTCAGGACTGAGTCATAGGAATTTCCCCATACCTAGGCATGGAATAGTTAAGAGGAACATCACAATGAGCCCCGCGTCCGGCCCGCTTGAACGCCGAGGACGATTGGTCACCCGTCTATGTGCCACGGCCTACTCCGTGATGGTCCGCAAATTACCAATGGCACATCCCAAGCGGGAAAGGTGCCGAAGAGAAGATCGACGGAAATGTGACCGATATCTGGCATGTTATATTGAAGCAGAACCGGCGTTTTTAATGTCCTGCTCGTACCTTGAGTATCGAACTCTCGGTGGCTATTCTCGACCTTTTCGTCTTTATTGCAAACACACAACAGCTAAGATGTATCTCGCACCTCTGTTGGTCATCCAACTCCTAACTTCCTTTGGGGGATGTAGCGGCAGCAGCAGTTTCCTCGACCAAGCCATCGAGTTGATGGAAGAAAGTCCTCTTCTAGACACGCACATTGATCTGCCGCAGATCATCAGAAGCTTGAGTAATTGCCTATCGATGTCTGTTTCTTGCAATATTGTCTGACTGCCCAAATTCAGACCGACGGCCACTAGACGCCATCCCCCAGCTGAACAGCTCGTTTCCTGGCCATGTCGATATTCCGAGAATGAGACAGGGCCGTTTGGGAGGAGCTTTCTGGACCGTTTGGGCGCCCTGTTACGACGTGACTGGGGAAGATCCTGGACCCGACTTCAACACGCCGACGAACCACCTACGAGACTCGATGGAGATGCTCGATATCATACAGAACATGATTGCACGGCACCCGGAGCATCTCCAGTATGCCAGATCGTCCGCCGAAGTCTGGAGCGCGTTCAAAGCCGGCAAGATCGCGTCGCTCATTGGCATGGAAGGCACACATTTGCTGGGCAACTCACTGGGTGCTCTTCGTCTGTTCGCACAACTTGGAGTCCGCTATCTCACACTGACGCACACCTGCCACAGCGCGTTTGCTTCGTCCGCCGGGCCCGGAGGCCCCATAGACCCGGTCCACGAGGGCAATGCTTTAACACAGCTTGGAAAGGAGCTCGTTAGAGAATTGAACCGTGTTGGCATTTTGGTGGACCTTTCGCACACGTCGGATGCGACCATGAGACAAGCTATTGCGCTTTCCGAGGCACCGGTAGTCTGGACTCACGCAGGCGCTCGCGCCCTATGGGATCATCCACGGAATGTCCCAGACGACATCCTCCGACTAATTGGCGACGGCCCGGGAAAGAAAGACGGCGTGATCCAATCGATATTCTTCCCACCCTTTATTGGCCCGAATCCTGGCGCCAACGTCTCCCGCGTCGCCGACCACATCGAGCATATTGCGGGCATTGTAGGTAAGAATCGTGTTGGCATAGCCTCCGACTTTGACGGGATGTACATCTCGGTAGACGGTCTGGAAGACGCCAGCAAATACCCAAATATAGTAAGTTTCTCCATTCATCATATTGCCCCTCTGCGCCTCCACTGACACAGGGGGCAGGTCGCAGAGCTTCTCTCTAGGGGCTGGACGCCAGAAGAGATGCGCGGCGTCATGGGAGGCAACCTGATGAGGATCATGGACGAGGTGGATGCAGTTAGTGAGCGGTTGAGAGACCAACTTCCGTCCTCTGCAATCTGGGAGAAACGAAAAGACCTTCCCTCAACAAAGTGGGGTGGTGGAGGCATACAAACGTACTGGCCCAGGGACGTGAAAGATGCCGTGGAAAAGATGACTGTGCGCCACGACGAGCTGTGATGGAGAATCACAGGAATTAAGTGGAAAGAGTCATGATTGTACGTATATTCGCCTTTTATGGCGGGAAAAGTGGTGAATAAGTTTGAAGGGAGAAAATAGGGAAGAAGGGGGGGCCGGGCAGGATCTCAATGAAATACTCTATTCAGACCCTGTTTTTGCTAAAAGGGGATTGGAGAGGAGATAGACAACAGTTAGGAAGCCCAGTACACCTCTGTCGTCTTTCCAGGAAACAGATTATATACTGTTTTCCTGTCGTTGTTTCCAGCTTTTTCAGTATATATTTTTGGATCATATGCTAGAATTCCAACCAAGACCCTAATGTTGCTCGCCGCCTCCTTATCGAGCTGGATCCAAGAGAGGGGTGGATAAGTAGAGGGCAAGACAAGGAAACGGTATATAAACGGGGATCGTTGGCGTAGTGTATAGCATGACGGTCAGACTTGTCGATTTGATGATTTGAGGATGTGACGAGACCACAAAGGGAAATACGGCGTATGTATAGATTTGAAGACTCGTGGTTCTGAGCTGCCATGAACTCGGATGGAGAGAAGACGGCAACGCCAAAGAACGAAGCTATCCTATTCCTCCCCCTTTCTCGTCGCCACGGCCGACCGTCTGTTCTCTAGCTAGTCATTCAAATATGATCACTGGATTGCCGAGAACTTCGTCGGGACCAGAAAGCTGCTCGCCACCTTGGCATTGATAGGCCCGTCCTTCTCGCTATCGGCCCTGGCTTGGATCCACTCGGGGTCACTAAAGAAGGCATTCCACTTCTGCTCGCGCTCGGCCAGGGACTCCCATGCAAGCATGTAGGTCAGGTCGTTGGCATCGGGGCCCACAAGCGTCGTCCTGTAGAAATCAAAGTGGAGCACAGACAAAATTCTCAGCCTGGGTTCTTGGTTCCACGAGCAAAAACACGGAATAAAATAGTGTGTTTTCAGTGAATTTGTGATTCCTGGAACAATAAATCCCTCCAGGTGATGTTGTTCAATTGTGTGCAAAACTCCCCCGTCCTCCCTGAGGGGCTCCTTTCGTGGATGTGAAAGTAGACCAAGTCTCCCTGGACAAGCTATCTATGCAAACGATCATACGTACCAGAATCCCAATTGTTTGATCCCATGTTTCTCCCAGATCCTGAGCGTGTGGTTCTCGAACCGAGCAAGTAAATTCGGCAACCGCCCCGGGATGGTGGTATAGATACGGAGTTCGTAAATCATCTCTCCTCTCTTTCTCGCTCTTGGTTCTTTAAGGACAAGGACAAGGACAGGAGACAGGGGGAAGGGTCTAAAACTGATCGTGACTCGTTGCCTTTCCACGGAAAGCGACAACAGCTCGGCTGACTATGTTCCCATCTCGATGAGAGATACCCGGAGTGATTGATATAAATACCCAAGTACTTATGCGGGGTAGTAACATCTGAGTAGGAGATCGCACTGCCGGCCGCGCGATGCGGGGGAAGACGACCACCTCTACCTAGGTAGATGGCATCATCTTACTCCAAGTCCATGGACGACGACTTAGTAATTTGAAAGCGAACGCACGGCTCGGTCGGGAGGACCCCGCTCTTTGACGGTTCGGTCGTTGATAAGAGAGGATTTCGTCCGTACCTGAGGACACGGCGTGGCCGTCGACACGAAGGTTGGCGAAAAGACGACACTAGACATGAGGAAGCTCAAGGGCATAAGGAAGACCGGTTCCTGACAGCCAACATTAAGGTCCTCGATAGAACAGCAACACCAATGGAGCCCATATGGCAAGGAGGGGCTAGGGATCCCCGCTGGCAAAGCGTGCGCTGATTTGACCAGGACCTGCTGCGGGTGACACTGTCAACAAGGCGCAACGGCCTTGGTAAGGGAGTTGATAACCATTACCGGACATGGGCCAGTTTCAAGATCTCCAGAGTGCTAGCCGAGAGCATGGGAATCTCATCGGCGCCACACTATGGACCCAAGGTGGCTGGAACTCACTTTTGTGCTCGAACCGGGTGACATTTGTAGAGATGATGCTTCATTCCATGCTTAACGTCTTTCACGACCGGCTAATTCGGACCAAAACCTTGTGTCAGTCTGGCTGACCAGGAACAACACCGAAACTCTTGCTCTTGCTTCGCGAGACTGGCAATCAAGACGATAAAGCAGCAGAAGACGAAATACTGACACATTATGGCTTTGGCCGATCACATTGCAGCCAGAGAGAACGAACATTTCTCTGATATGCTGGAAGCCTTGCTACCCCCGTACCGCGAGGTCACTCTTAAAACACCGACACGAGGACAGCATCCAGATTATTCGGCATTCTGTGCGTTACAAATCCGTCCAAGGATGGATATCTTTTCGACACCTACCGGCAAACCCACACAGGGGAAGATGTCGAGGACTTTGAAACTTCTAGACAGTGATTCCTCAGGTGGAACAGCACGATGTATATCACATGCCTAACACAAATGGATATCCCACCACCGGACTCGGGATAACTGAAAATTACTTGCCGATGGGCCCAATGTGGCAGTAACGCAGCTTCGTCGTTTTGTGAGGAGCGTCTAGTGCGTCATCAGCGTGGATTGAAATATGTCACGAAAATGCAGAGTTCCCCAGTGCGCTCTTTGATCTCCAATCGTGGCCGCCTGTTCGAGACGGGGCAGGAGATTTGGTAATAGGTCCTTTTCTGTTCTGCAAGGGCGACGTGTTTAAGTTAACCCAAAGAAAAATGATTCCCTTGCGCTGACCGCGGTTGGCAAAAGAACATGGAAGCTTGTTGGTGATACCTTACGCGGAATCATGCACAGAGGGCTACTTCACGGCCAAAGTGATGAAGCATTATCCATCGAGAATAAGGGTGCCTTTCTCGTATCGATCGCGAAATCGGAAATGTAGGCAGTGGACTTCGTCCAGAATTAAGATTTCAGCACGGCCGGGCAGACACCTCGTATGCCACAGCCTGCCAAAGTCACGAAGGGCCTCGTGATTGTCTGGTTTTCGGCCATCTGTTCAGTGATGATTCGGGCATGGAGCTCTTTCTCTGTCCGAACCCTCGAAATAGCAGCCGAGAACATTGAGAGATAGGAGAAAGCCATTTTGGCAGCAAGAAACCAATAGAAGCAGAACTTGTCCTAAAACTCCATGGACAATTGGCAGGACAGTCCAGCAGCGCACGCTCGCCGGAAACTCCCCTTTCTCCAGGAATTAACCCCAAGAAACTTTCCCACAATTTCTGCGAATGGTGCACCAATGGCAGATCAATCTGGAATGGGGACTGAACCTGGCCTTACAGGGTCTAGACTCTGGAAAAGATGTTCGAAAGTTTGGCTTGACGGAAAAGGTTTCGACTAACTCTTAACTCTCCATCCCGTTCACCAACACGAGGCTCGGCCAGGGAGAATGCCGCTCTCCAGAGAGGAAAACGTTCTAAAGGGGGTTTCCGTAGTATCGTATTCGGGAAGGTCAATGCTGTGTAACATGGGGGCTGAGGAATGTTAGAATGTTAATTCGAGGGCAACGCGAGCGCTGCCGTAGTGTTGATAAAGCCGGTTGATTCCCCAGCGGCCCTCCACTCTGTCTCAGAGGCCTAAGCGTTGTCCTTTTGCAGCCGTTGTGTCCGATGCGTGGTCATCATCAAGGCGACCCGACGCAATATCAGGAAAGATTCGCTGGAGAAAATGTCGTCTTCCAACCCAATTCAACGCCTGGTTTCTTACGCACTGCCAGGCACATTCATTCTCACAAGCGCCATCTGTACGTCTTCCTAAGATGAAGGGCCCCCTCCGGCATGACAGCTATTATGGTTGATGCATTGACTGAAGTTTTTGTCCAACAAAGGCCACGTCCAGACCGCCATTTTCCATCCAGGGCTTCTTTTTGGTCATTTTGCTCGTTACAAGGAGAAGGCCTTCGCGACAGTTTGGGCCATAGGCGGCGTGATATGTGCCAGAGACACCCCGGCACCTCTCGGACCCATCCTCGCGCAGAGCAAGGGTGTCATCCTGGATGTTGGTCCTGGTGCTGGACACCAATTGTTCCGCTTTTCTAATCCACAGGGCATCGAAGCGATATACGGGGCAGAGCCAGGCGTGAGCATGCACGCGGCTTTGAAAAAGCGTGCGGAGCACGCTGGTCTGGGCGATAAGTACCACGTCTTGAGCTGCGAAGCGAAGCTCGACTCGCTAGTGCCGGCATTGGCGAAGGCCGGGGTCATCAAGGCCAGCGATAACCAGGGCCGAGGGGAGAACGCCCCGTTCGACGAGATCGTCTGCATCCGCGTGCTCTGCGGGGTCCCTGACTTGGATGAGGTGATTGAAGGACTGTACAGCATCCTCAAACCAGGTGGCAGGATGGTCGTGTGTGAGCATGTGATCAACTCGGGGGACAGCACGAAAGGCGGAACTGCAGTTGGCCGTTCGATGCAGAAATTGTACATGTGGATTGGTTGGAGTTCCTTCATGGGCGGCTGTGAGTTGACGAGAGACACGCTGTCGAGCCTGCACAGAGCAGCAGAGAGGGATGGCGGCTGGGACAAGGTCGACGTGGAACTCTGCGACCCCTACAGCACGATTCCTCATATTGTGGGGACATTGGTAAAAAAGAGGTGAAACAGACTGAGACTTCCAGCCGTCCGTTGATGCCAGTGATTCTGATGAAGTTGTAACATTTTCCAGGGAGTTAACCGACTGGTGTTCGTCGGAATTTGTAAATTGGAAATCGGGGCCTGGTTTTCATAAGATACCCAAGTCGACTTGTTTGATCGCGAAGCCTGGCGGTAGCTGAGGGCGTTGATGAACGGAAATTCCACAAAGAAGTTAACATCTTTGCTATCAAGCAATCACCTAGCCGCCTCTGCATATTCCACCTTTGCGGTCAATTAGAGGGACTGGCTGAACGTAATCTCAACCGCTGATATCGTCAGATCGTAGTGTAACAAGGCAAAGTGGCTGTGCGGTGCTGTGCAGGCTGGTAGAGTGGTAGCTGGGGGGGAAGAAGTTGTCTAGTCGCATGTCAAACCAAAAATGGGCTGGCATGGGGAGTGCCGAACAGTTTATAGTGCTGGCAGAGCGCCATTCATTAGATTTTATAAAAGGAGAGTATCAGTATTCCATGCTTTTGATGCCGTCTACCTATTCCCGAGTGTTTCGTCGGCCCGTTCCTACTTCTCAATGTCGTCGCCGTGCTAGGCGCTCGCTGCCCTAGCTGCTGCCTCTCTGGGGGTGGTGTTGGTGGTGGTGTTGCCCTATCAGTGTCAACCAGAAATGCGTCCTCGATTCCCGATCTGCTGGACAGACCTCTGTGCGTTGTTACACGTGCACGTCGAACCCTGAAGTGCTTCGTTACTGTAGAAGCCATACTGTGCTTCTCCCTTGTCAAGCCTACTACCGCTGCTACACTGGTCAGTTCCAGTTATGGCGACAGAACAAAACGAAGCATGACCACCGCGGTAGCTTCTCCAAATAGATGGGATCCCTTATGGAGCCCTTAGCCTGTGCAAATGTCATCCATTTCCCCTCCTCTTCTCGGGGACAAAATCCAGAAGCAGGAGAGAGAGCTTCGAGGATCCCTGCATTCTCCTCCCCCTCCAACAGGCGCACCAGCCCGGTACTACTATTTCATCCGTGATCTTGCCCGTCTCGTTCCTCTTATAATAAGGATCCTGGCTGTGGCGGTGTTGAGAGGGGTGTATAAATTCTGAATATATTGGGATAATTCGCGTCGTGTTCTTTCTGGACTGGGTCATACATCGAACATAGATGTTCTGTTGTACACAGAACAGGAGTGGATCTATCTGATTGAATATGTTCTGTCCCCCTGGTTATTCAGACTCTGTCTGTTTATATACACTTTGGCCCGTGATCTGAAGGCCATTCCTGACACCTCCTATTCCGTCGCCATCCTATCACAGATCGGCGAGAACAACGGTGTTGAGATAGGTCGCGGAGTTGGTGAAACTCCTAGCGTCTCAGGTGGTTTGTCACAGTGGCGATCTTGCGACCCTATCAATAGGTCGGGTCCTCCAACGTGTCACCAAAGAAATGGATCACAAAGAGTATGCAAAGGTCATCTGCATCCTAGAGTGGCTTGCCTGCTCCTGTCGGCTCATGAAGATGCGCGAGGTGCAGGACGGGATCGTCTTCCACGTCGACAATATGGTGCTAGACGATGAAACGAAGCTTTCTCCCGCCGTGTTGGATCTCTGCAAACCGCTCATTGAAGAGGGCCCAAACAAGACGATTGACTTCGTACATTACTCAGCCAAAGAGTGAGATCCTCAAGGACTAGGATGATTGCACGGCTAACCCAAATAATGACAGATTCATCCTCGACGAGGTTAGTGGGCCGTTACTGCAAGAGTCCCAGGCACATTACAACATTGCTTTCTCGTGTATCACGTACCTAAATACGGCCATCTACTTTCTCGCACTCGGTCCATTCGAGGGTCTTGCGAAAGTAAGAGTTGCCAAAGGCTCCCATGGCTTGCACAACCATGCGAATGAGTATTGGTTCCAACATATACTCCAATGTGTCCGAGATCTCATCAATTTGGACTCAAGCGGCATCATGGTCTCAGCTTTACGCACGTTTCAAGAACGATATTGGAAAGGCAAGTCAGGTCATGCAGCCCAGAGTCTCAAATTGGATGACACTACGACCGCGAATGAGATATGCAAGGAGCTCGCTGTGCTCAGCGACCTCGACCATGTCCGACAGATGGGAACCGATGTGCAAACATTTCGCGCACATTTAGTCCAAGAGAGGCACGCGCATAAAGTCGCAGAAAGTGTGTTCGCTCCAGATACGTCCTCTCCCGAAAACTGATCCTTGTTCAGACCATCACGCCTACGAGCTGGAGCACGACCCTACGCTTTTCAGCCAGATCAGCCGCCGCTACCAAGAGGTGGTTCTCTTCCTTCTGACTAGCAAGCTTGACGGCGTGCCGCCGAGCATTGATCAGGAAACACTCGCCACGTTTAGAAAAGTGTGCAGAGAGTCCGAGTTTACCTGTCGCTTCTATGAATGCCCTTTCCACTCAGGTGGCTTTCACACAATCTAGGCCCGTAACAACCACGAACTGAGCCATTTCAAGAAGCTTCGATGTGCCGACACGACCTGCGAGTTCCTCGTTCGAGGCTTCGCCAGTAGAACGGGGTTACTGAAGCACAATCGCCATCCTAGCCCAGATGAAGTGCAGTTGCCGGAATTTGTGCCTATCAGACCTCAGAACCCCCCGGCGGGACCTCCTTCCGTGCCACCACCCCTACCAGCCGCGAACGTGCCTCCTCCCTGTAGCCCTACACCCACATCCGTCGAGATATCTCCGATTTCGGTTCCAGAATCATCACCAGTCAAGAAAGTGAGGCAGAAAAGAGGCAAACGAGGGCTTCCTGTCCATAACTGTGAATTCTGTGGCAAGGTATTCATGAGAGCAGAGGCTCTGAGGTATGTCTATCCGTCTGTGGACGTGTTCTATAAAACTCACATCGGATGTCATCAAGACGCCACCAACTCAACCATGTACCTTCTGGTTTCCGCTGTCCGCATGAGCATTGCGGCAAGGAGTTTCACAGGGAAGATATGTACGAACGGCATCTCAGCGAACAGTAGGTTAATTCCCCCTTATTCAAGAAACATCAACGATCTGAGCCAAAGCAGTCACCAAAGCGAATAACAGCTGCAGAGGCCTGTAGCAGCGAGCTTCTGATCCCGTCGACTCCAGCTCGAAAGGTTGATACCTCTCCATCGAAGCCAAGTCTACCCGATACAGTGAGTCTGACTGGATGCACTGCGGCATGTCCGATCTATTGTCGATGGCTGTCCACAAGATTAACCCGTGGGCAATGGGGTAGAAAAGGCAGGGTCTGGCGGCATGAGATTGCTCGACAGTGTCGGCCATCTGGAACCCGATTCTTTAGTCACACAGCGCACGCAGAGGGAGAAATTCCCTGCGACTCAGGGGAGTCATAGTCTAGATTGGCTAATTGGATAGATACTGGGTAGCGCAAATAGTGGATTTCAGGGTTTCTGGTGAACAATAGAGTCCTGATCTTTGCCTCAGTGAATGGTCTGGTATCCTAGTACGAAAGGGCTGAGGAAACTGACACCTGGTCACGCCACTACACGACCACCAGGCGCCCCGAAAATTAGGCAGGGCCAGTATGCAGGGTGCGAAGTAGTGAAGCACAGTCCCTGATTGGTTCTGCCTGCTGAGGTCCATGTAGCTGAACAAAAAGTGCCCAAGGAAAGTTGGAGGCGGTTTTTGGGCGCAGAGCCTCATGGTTAGGATCAAAAATCCACAAGCCGTCCCTTCTGATCAGCACCATATTCTCTACAGGATTGGCTTGTGGAATACAATGCGGCTCTCCCTTTAAAGGTGCTCCCGTGCGGCTGGTTTCGTCCTTGGCCGCCACGGCAGGCAGCATGATGAGTCGCCAATATTGACTGCACGGTTAGAACGCCCATCAAGCCGACCCAACTCATGTTCCAAAGGCACCCAGAAAGCCGCGCCTCCTCCGTCAATCAGGTTGCCACAGTATCCGGATGTCGACCTCTATGCGGGATTAGAAACTTAACTTCGTGCGCTGGGGATGGATATTCTCGGCTTGTGATCGGTGAGGCTGATCAAATGGGTCCTCTCAGCCAGATAGCGTGACCTCGTCCACGGTTGGGTGAGTCGAGTAGTAGGTTACGAACTTGAGCCTCAATAAACAAGTTTTCCAATTATTTATCTCAAAGCCAGCAAGTCCCTTCCGTCCGGAAGGTGTTCCTTACGAGGTACATGGTGACTGGACGCAAGGAAGCATACTTCTAGATCCGTCCCCAGTTCTACAGCTGAGCCACCGTGGGAGCCGGGTATCGAACAATCTGTCCCCAGAAAGACGGATTTTGGAGGCGGTTTTTCTTTGCGATATGAGGCTCTGCAGGGAAAAAAGACTCTGAAATTGGAGAATCCCCTTCTGGCGCGGTAAAGTTTTCTGCCTTCGTGATTGGTTGCCCTGTATTTCTCAACTCATGAAACTAGATCCAAGCAAAAGCCGCCAAGGCAGACTTTATCGACGTGTCAACAAGAAGATCGCATTTGCAGGCCAATTTGGATTCCAGTCGCGCGGTGCAAAACTCCCGGTCATCTGTTGTTGAGAATAAAATCTCCAAGAACCCTCCACTGCCAAAGCAACCAGGACCGCCTGATGACAGGTCAGATCAATCTACCGGACGGGTTCGAGGTCCTCTCTCGAGTGTATTCGCTCCAGTGCTCCTCCCAACTGCCAATTGCAATAGACATTATAGTTTATTGCAGAGATTTAAAACCACTTATGGCGTATATAACTTCAAGAGTGGGGGAGAACTGGAACAACACTCACTATGGCCACGATCATGCAACCACGCCCGCAGAGTCTCCCTCTTAACGTAGGATGAAATACTATTTCGCTCCAGATCCAGATCTGCAGAACCCAATCTGCACCAAACTTCCCTTTTCTATTTCCACTCTGGCTAACTGTGGGGGCACTGCTGACTCCTGTCCTGTCTAATCATAGTGGAAGCTCCCTTGGGTAGATTCGTGCTGCGGCTTGCACAATGGTAAATGAATGTAGAACTAGTTCTTCAACGATGATTGCATTGGTAAAACTAACAAAGGTCGATCTCTGTTGGGAGTAAAATACGTAAACTTCCTCACTGGATCTGCGAAATACATGATCGTTTTCCTTCCTCCGCGAAATCGTTCGCTCTGGCGTGGATTAACTTGGGCTCCCAGATTCCCACAGAGAGTGCCCGCAAACCAATCTTGTTGGAATTGGGGTTAGGCCTGGCAAATAGATCGCATGAACTCCGGGCTAGCCTGGCGTTGTATTCCTGCGGCTACCCTAACCCTCGGAGTCTCCTCCTGCGGCTGGCCTATGCGGTGCTCGGCCTGCATCCCTTTGTACTGGCCGAGAAGATCTCTAGCCGCTCCATCCACCCTGTTCGGTTGTCGGTCGAACAACGCGTGGCTCGCGGTCCAAAGGACGTTGTCTTGGCGAATGGGAGAATCCCAGACACTCGATCACGTTGTTCTCCGGGTGAGGTCACTGGGGTCGAATGTACACCACCGTGTGAATTACTAAGGTGCCTCACAACAATCTTTCTTCGAAGAGTACGCCGCAATCCTGCCCAACTCATCTCTGGATTGTAAGCAAGCAATCCTAAAGATAATGCTGAGGGAACGAGTGTCGACGCGACGTGTGATCAAAGCGCCAGACACTGTGTGTGAGAGTTACCTCCTTCCCATCCAAACCTCCTGTTCTTTGGCTAGTAGATGTGAACCGCGGGATAAATGTCAGCCCAAGTGCCAATGTGATTATCGATGCAGGTATCGCAGATGGATTGCGCCGCGGCGGAGACTTCCAACAGGGGCCGCTCGTTCACCCGATCGAGGCTCTCGTCGTTAAGGTCGTGAGCTTTCCTTGTTTTGGACCCTCGCCAGGGAGTGCGGTCCTCTGGAATTCGCATCACCCGATCGGGCCTTGCCACTAGGACGACCCCGTCCATTTCATCCCTCGGCCAGTCATCTCGCTGCTCATCCGGGATCATGGTTTACCGGTCGGCTCGAATGAAGATGATCGTGTAATTGCTCCCCGGACGCTGGACCGTGACATGTAGAAACGGTCAAGGATGATGTAGACACGTAGATATCCCATCCGCTGTGCCTCATCCAATTATAGACTTGGTGACATATTGGGCTAGTTCGCCTCCAGAGCACCGTGTGGCGAATCCATGAACACGTTCAATGATCCAGCGTGCTGTACTCCCACGCTTTTAAATTAACGTTTGATCATCTCAGATTTCTTCAGCGCAGTCACTCGTTCGGAGGTAATGGGAATATCGACGGACCCGCGCTGAGGTACGAGTCTAACACAGAGCGCACAGCTTCTACCCAAGACCCAGAGAGAGCCCGCAACATCTGCAAAGAGAAGTTCCCAGAGAGCACGATTCATCGGTGACTGCATGCAGCATCATATTGCAGGTCAGTGCCTAGGGCGCATGGCTGGAGAGTGATCGTAGACAGGCTTCTACAGCGATGAGCGCGGTTGGCCGATTAAACCATGGATCCAAAACTGGTGGAGTGCGCGGATCTTTCACATATATAACCTTTTCGGTTCATTTGAGCGTACCTTGGCCAAGGATTGCCGTCAGATGACAAACGAAGGTGCAGGCGAAGAGCAGTTCGCATTACATATCGCTAGGAGTACCAGCCTTGTTTTGGCGACTTCGTGAGCCACCGAAGTCTTCCTGAGCCACCCGACCTGCAGAACTGTGCGACATGGCCGGCCTAGGCTAGGTATCTTCATCGTGGACTGGTATATACTATACTGTAAGACGCGGCATCAAGGAAGAGAAAGAGTTAAAGACTAGTGATCGTGGACTGGAACCGTGGCGGTTGGATTGCAGGATGATAGCTGCTAAGTGGACGACAAGTAACCGTTGCATCCTCGGTCCGGGAGGTCGTTTTCCTGAGTTTGTAGTTTTGGCTCTGCAGCTCACGGGCCATGTCAATTGACAACTGTTGAGATATTGGCCATCCTTTTTTGGGACCGGCATGCTTCCGATGGGGAAGACCAGGCATATAATGTCGCACGGTGCTGCGGGACGGATGGTTTCGGGAGACTTGGGTAGCGCTTTCGTGGCTCTGCAGCAGCAGCAGCGAAAATCTCGAAGATGGACGGCACTTGGAAACCCCGTTGTTTGGACTTGGCCTTTTGAGTTCCGGCGTCTCCGAACCATCTAAGACCAATTCAGATGCAGTAACAGGTTCCTTAAGCCATCACAAGAAGTCCAAGACTAAGGGATAAAGAACAATTTGAGAAGTGAACGGTTTGTTGCAGAAAGAAAAGTCTGAGATCGGAAGATTGAGGGGTGATAATTATAGTCTGGAATGATCTTAGGCCGACAGGAGAGATCGCAGCAACGCTCTGGGTAGAATGTGACGATGTGCCTCTGTCCGCACCCGCGACGGCAAGCGCGACGAGAAGAACGACCGCGGTCTCATAAGGACCGTGGCGATCGACCAGTCCACAACCAGTGACAAGCAGACATCACGACGGCGCGGTCAGCAAAGAAGACAAACCCAGCAGAAATTCTCACCATATCTCCCTTGCGATGGTTAGAATAAAAGCCTGGCGATGCGGTGAGCAACGAAGGAAAGCTGTGCCACTGGGCACAAGGCACATCTGCCCCACAGATAGTCGGTCATTCTAGCCGTTTCAGGAAGTTCACTCCCGGCTCGCGAGGCGAGGATGTACGAGGCTGCAGCCCCTTATGACCCTCTTTGATCTTTTCTCCGCCGGCATGCGTCTTTCTCCAGGAACCATGCGTCGTCTTCTCTCCTCTGATTAGCTTGAGGTCTATGAAGCGAAGAGGAGGTAAAAGATCAACGACAAACGCATCCACCCAGGGCAAGCCTAGTAAGCAGCAAAACACACCTTAGTCGCCAACTGAAAGTCACTCGCGATGAGGTGAAGCCGGCCTCCGTGACAATGAACGTCAACTCTTGCTTTTGGAAGATAGTGGAGCACTGGGCGTCACCTTTCCCATCGGCTCTATAAGGGAAAGACCACTTCCGCATTATCGGGCAGGTATGATGTGCGTTTCTGTGCTAGACTGTGCCGCTTATTTCGCCAAATGACTTTTGCCTTT